ATTCTTGCACAAAGCTCATAATTGATGTTATCAACCTGTAATCAACTGTTTATATTATCTAATAAAGGCATTAAATTAAAAACAAAAAAAAAACCTTTGGGTATTTAATTTCTTGCTTCATTGGAAACTCAAAAAAGTTATAGAAGATATTCTACTATTAACGAGGGTGATACTCTGAGACGTTTAACATCACTTACCCTTGTACACAATATTAGCACCAGAAGGACATGACGTCTTGCCCCATCGTATGTACTCGATCCCACCCCCACTAGGCCCTGGTGGTCCTCTGGGGCCATGGCTTCCTGATGGCCCTTGCGGTCCTCTTGGTCCTGTCAAATCATAGAATTATTCCATGATATTTGCAATGTATCCAACGAACATAATCAACATTCGAGTGAATGATAACGCTTTTACTGAGCTTAGTGTATAAAGATGGGTGCTTTGAATGCTTGTTATATTTTTTTCATACCTTTTGGTCCTCGTGCTCCGTTTTTGCCATCACGACCATCTCTACCTATGTAAAAAGATAACAATAATTTTAAGGAAAAGACTTAGCCACTTAGCCATTTTATTATTTCACATGTCATTATGTTGTTGAGRCAAATCATTTGRTAGCACTTTTAGCAGTTGTTGTTCCTATGGTAACCAAGCCGCACCCAAAATACATGATTATAAGGCTCTTACTGTAACATCTCTAGCTCATACAATCCAAACTAAGGATATTTATTGTCAATGCAATCTATGCAATGAACCTAAAATTGTTATCAACTGGAAAATAAAATGTGGTAAAAAAAATTGTACACGCGGTTTTTCGTTGTATATCCTCTTTTTGGTAAGGTGTATATACCATAAGCAATTATATTATTATAAAAATATAAATATCAATAGTATTTAGAGACTTGAATCAATTGAAAAAATCCACGAACGCAGAAATTTTTTTAAGCAAAAATCATTCATTGTTCTTTCAACTGAGCGCGTGCGCGAGACGTGATGATTGACACAGTAATCAGCCAATCAGGGCGTGCGAATTTACACAAGTGTGGTAAAAGTGTGTACAGCGGTTTTAAAATCATGGTTCTTTAGATGACTTTATCAAATACTGAGAGGAATTTTTAACAATGCAACTAATGTACCTTGTGGTCCTGGTATACCGTCTTTTCCATCTCGACCATCCCGACCTGAAAAAATCGAAATTTCATATTATGTTCCTTTTATCATCATCATCATTTTCTTCAAAGGATAACCTGCACAGTTTAACGAGGTGGTCAGTTACCTTTGAGCAATATCATTCTTCTAGATTCCATTCTGTACAACCTGAGAAGGGGAAATAGCAAAACAGGATGAGAATTGTTATTCGGTCCATATTGTGATTTTTCTTATTATCTTGAACTACCCTTACTTAATAACGGCTTGTAAAAAAACAGTTATAGAGTCTATCGATAAAACGTTTTTATGAAAAATGCGAGTAATTTTGGATTTACGGTAAAGTGTTCATCTGTATTTGGGAACAACAATATATAATCTCCACTGCATGGTTTCGGCAGAGGCTTCTTAGTCTGTGCCTCTCGCTTGCTATATAAAAATAAGTATGCCTTTTTTGTTTTTTGTTTTTCATCTCACTCGGTCTTGTATACGCACGTTTTAACATTTCCACTGATTTGGCATGGATCACATAAGAATTTAGATCAATACCGACGACTAAAGTACACGTTGTTATTTAAAAGTACGTGTGAGCTAGTATTTTGTTTTGTTCCATAACTTTTGCTGTTTCTAAATGACCAAGTTATTAGATTTCGCTGTTCGTTGTTTGTATCATATATTTTTAATCATATTTTTTCGGCTTCAAACGGAACAAACCTTTGCTTGAGACGGGCCAATTCCTTTATCACGTCGGTCAAGGTTTTGCGTCCTCTTTTTTCTTCCACTTCATCGTCAGAAGCCACGGCGCACAGAAACACCGCCATTAGCAACAGCAACTTTATCCACTTTGTCGCCATTTAAATGATTAAAGGTAACCTTTTTAACAGAACTCGTGTTTTGAACGTTAACTATATAGCGTCAAGTCAAGAGTGTGCGTTCTGGGTGTTAGTATCTCGTTATTGTTCATAAAAGTTCAATGGAGCTCTTAAACACGAAAATTCGTGTAAAGAATCACTGAAATATCCGCAAATACCCATGATTGACAGGATCAATTATAATAGGACATTTACACTAGGAATTTTTTCCGTGATTTTGGCTGCGATTTTTCGGGCGATTTTCAAAAATATAGTAGATTTTGTCTTATCCTTGCGAGGAGACGTTTAGTTAGCTCATCTTAGTGTAATGAATAAATGTTTACAACTTTATTCTTTAGCATTATTCTCTAGGATCAAAATGGCCACAATAATGGTCGCAAAAATCACTGCAAAAATCACCAGCCTAAACGGTACTTCAGTGCAAAAGATTCAGGGTAGATTCAATAACTATATATCTATAAATGTCGTTTTTCGCATTAAATTTGACCACACAATGAATATTGAAAATGACTATCTAGACTGTCTAGATAATATATTTTGGTTAAAAAACAAAACAAAAGAAAACAATGGATTCAGAGTGTGATGCCAACTAATCTCAATATTCTTTCATTATAGACGTAAACATATACTCCTAAATGCAAGAACTTTGTCAAAGAGAAATCAGTAGCACATTTAATTTTATGCTTTGGTAAAATGAAATTTCCTTAAAAGATAAAAGAAGTCACTTTTTGCTGACCGTCTTAACAACCTTTTGTCTTTTTTAATACACGTCATTGAAAAAACATTGTCGCGAAAAAAGCTGATAAAAAAAGCTGAACAGTTTAATTCGCAGCTATTTAAAACATATTTGCCAGTAAATAGCATTTACTTGTAGAGAAATAGAGGATATTGCATGGTCGCCCGGAGATACGCGCGGATTTTGTCTTCGAGTGTTGAGGATCTCTCACGAGTGATCGTTAACAGTGAAAATAACAACTTTTCGAGAGAGGACGTTTTCATAAATAGTAGGTGCATGTTTTAAGCTAATTTTCAAATATCTGTTGTCATGTTGCAAATCGTAAGAACAAAAACAAATCAACAGAGAGATCATTATTACCGTCGTTTCTGTCGACGTGCGCGTTGATTATCTATCGATATATGCGTCTAAGTATATCGTCCGTTCACAGTACTGCAGCAAAAACATTCAATAAACTTAAGTGCTTAACCACCTATCAAATAAGCATAATGCATAAATGTAGTCAAACAATTGTTGTTCCATTACAAGATACAAGATACAAGATATTTTATTATTGCCTCTGTGTAAATGGTATTTACATTAGAGTTTATATGCAATAACATACTTTATGATTGTATATATTATTAATGAAATGTTCCAGTAACCTTTTTTCTTATTTCAAAGCATTCATAAATGTGTTTTGCGATTATTTTTTGTAACAATTTATTTGAAATTGGATTTATCACATAGTGAAACTTTTCGTCTTCAGTAAGAAACTCGATATTTTTCTTTGTAATAATATTTATCTTTTCAAATATTTCTTTTCTYTTTGTGGAGAAAAAGGAACATCTGAGAAGAAAATGTTTCTCATCTTCACTTTCATTTTTGCAGAGAGGACATATTCTCTCTTCTGGTTTGACATATGGGCGTGAATACCTCCCTCTTTCAATTTCTAAAGAATGWTTACTAATTCTAWGTTTAGTAAGTGCTATTCTATGTTTGATATTGCTGACTTCTTTGAGATAACTTTCCTGTTGGTARGTTWTTTTAAAAGTTCTATAAGTTCTAAGTTTGTTTCTTTGAGTGTCTTTTCTACCCATATCATCATGAATYTCCCCTMACCATGTTTGTATTTCAATGTCCTCTAATCTCTGTTTTATTTGTTTTGCTAGTATTTTCCCTTTCRTTTTGTCAAAATTTTGTTGCCATACAAAGCTGTAGCCTAATTTGTTTAAAATTTGTTTGACTTTCCCGCTACAGCTACATGAATCTGGAGTGTTGTCAACAGCACAGTCTTGTAACRTTAGGTATGATAACTTTATTTTATCAGAAGTAACGAAATTAATCCAAAACTTTATCACTCTTAATCTGGCACTTACTCTTAAGGGAAATAGTCCCAGTTCTGATCTGCACGCGTTGTTTGATGCCCATTTATTGATTCCTAGTAACATTTTGCAAAACTCTATATGCACAGCTTCTGCGGGGTCGTTTTTGATGTTATCTTTGATATCAGCACCCCACACCTCACTTCCATGTAATAGGATAGGTTTGATTAGAGAGTTAGATATATGTCTGTCCTAAAGTGATCTCCGAGATCTCTTCTAAGCTTAAACAAAGCTTTTAAYGCTATCTTCTTTAGTTCTTCTCTTGCATTGCTAAAGGTACCAAAAGCGCTTAAGTATAGTCCTAGATATTTATAGCTTTTCACATTTTCAAGTNCACAAAAGGTGTCTAAAGAATTAAGACCCTTTTGATGCGCACCGTGAATTAATTGGCTTCTTTGGGAGGGCTGGATTTTCACGCTAGACACAAGACCCCTTTTGTGATGTACCCTCTCAAATATATATGATGACGGCTTAGGTTAACTCAGTTGGTGGGAATTCTCGTCATTATCACCCTAAGTGGGACCAAAACAATGATTTCAAACCCTAAAAGAGACGACAAGGAGTCCCCCCCTGGCCATAATTATGATGAATAACGTTCCATATAATTTTATGAGAGTGCTTTAAATGGTGGAGTTCAAAACAGGTGTGACATGGACAAGATACTTAATGCATTATTATGATATTGTTATTACTAAGTTATACTGTTATTATAATTGCAGTACAAAAGTTGTACAAGCAATAAAGCCTTTTTGTTGAAAATTATGTAATAAATTTCTTCTGATATATTATGAAACTTTTCATGTGAGTCGCTGAAAAACAACTTCTACAWTTACTGTGGTATGATTGGAAAGAACTTTGTTATCAACTGAAGCAGTCTGAACATACCTTGCAATTCCAGATAATTCACCATCCAAATGATAAAGCTTTGCCAAAAGAAAAACTGAAAAGAAAATAGTCCATTTTATGTCATTCAGTTTTATAAATCAGATTTTACTTACAAACTTAAAAGATAAGCAGCTTCTTATTAACTAGAATCACCTAAACAAGCATGACCAGATGCAGATGAGGCAAGGCCTGCAGCAGTTGGGAAGTTGTTCTTTGAAGCAATGTACAAATGACAGTCTTTAAGGTCTTCCCATCTTTCTGGCGCTTCCTTGCGGCACTTGTTACGGACTAGCAACACATAA